TTTATTGCCATATTTACAACGTTTCGGTCGTTGTAAGCTGCCTTCTTCAGGTAATTAGAATTTAGAACCAAACCCTTTATTTCGTCCACAAAGACAGATATCACGTAACAGCTCAGTATTTTTTTTCTTCGTTACCAAAGAAATTCTATCTCGCAATACTCTGCCCAGCTTTTTCAACACCCCATTGCGTCGTATTTGCCGTCCTCTGTTAGAACGCTTCCCAGATATTTAAAGTCCCGAGTCAGCTTGATTCTAGTGTTCCCGACCTGTAAATAGTATTTCAGGATCATCCTTTCAATGATAACCTTGCATTCTATTTTCTTGTAGTTTATGCTTTGTCCCTTTTCACATTCTACGTCGCTATCTTCTGTAGGAGATTTTGTAATTTCTTTTTTGTGTCTGCTATCAGTACTGTGTCACCAGCGTATCTTATGCTAAGATTATGGCCGCCAGTGCTTAATCCCGGTAGATTTCCCAATTCTCTCAGAATTTTGAACGGGTCCGGTGAGAAGAAACGTCCCTTTCTATTTTTGTGTATTCGCTGAAGAGTGATTGTTACATTTTTGAGTTATTCTGCTAGAAAGAGAAGTTTAAATCGTTTTGTGTCAGCCTCACTGTCTTCCTAACTGAGCAATGGTGAGAGGAAAAAGATCATTCAGGCCTTCAGTAATTGTACCAACATTCATACTGTGGCTTCCCTCTTCAAAGTCCATTCAAGAGCCATAAAAAAAAAACGGGGAATAAGTTTAAAAAAGGCGGAACAGTAAAGAGGAAACCTGGATCAGGAGGTCATAACAGGAAGAGGGATCATCATTTCAACTTAGAGCTAAAGACATCTATTAGAAAAGATCCAACTCAATCCGTGGGTGAGGAGTTTCAGCTATGACCGTCCAAAAAGCAGTAAAAAAAAAAAAAAATACTTGAAAATGAAATCGTACGTGAAACGTGTGAGGCACCTTCTTACTCCGGGGCAGAAGAGGGTGAAGATCCTGAAATATCTATCCTTTTTCTCGTGCAAAAATTCACGATTTATAAAAATACATAGAACCATCCAGCCTTTAAAATTCCGAAAAAGTCTTTCTCGGTATTTAGGCTTATGCTTAAGAATGTTGCAAATAGCCGGATAATCCCGTGTGCAAGGGGTATTTACATCATCCAACTTCACAAGTATATATATATATATATATATATATATATGAACTTAATTTCAGTCCTTCATGAGCTTCTGATTGCTAGCTATGATTAATTAATGATGACCAACACATTTTCGTTTATGATTCTATTTCATCGCGATTCTTCTGTTAAGCTTGGAGAATAATTATACATTCTTATTGTTCAAAGTGGAGTCCAATAGTTCCCAAAACCTCGGGGAATTCCAGTAAGATATCTTTAATCATTTCTAAGATACAACAGTTCAAAGCTTAATCTAACAAATGGACAATTTTGCTTTATACCCAAGATATATAATATATTATATATATATATATATATATTTTACACACACACACACACACACACATATATATATATATATATATATATATATATATACATATATGACAGGCTGTTTCATGCTGGCCTGACAATTGCGTCAGCATGAAACAGCCTGTCGCCTCTAAGTGTTGACTTCAATGTTCGCTTTTATATTTACACACTCTTTCTGATATTGATCACTTTATCCCATAAATATAGCACACTTTAAAAGTATATTTCTTTTTTTATATATATATATATATATATATATATATATATATATATATATATATATATATTAAAACATTATTTAAAAACTGAAAACGAACAAGAATAAACAAAAATAAAATAAATTGATAAAATAAGTAAAATTAAAGTAATCCAACCCAATAAGTAAATACTAAATAATCGACGAATACACAATTAAACACAAATAAAATTAAGAATTACAACCAACACTAAATAATTTAACACTATAAAGAGTAAAAAAAAAAACTGCACCCAGATCCACAATTACTTCCACCCAGTTGCCCTAGAATAATTCAAAACCTACCCGTTAATGACCACCAAAATAACCATTAGAATAATAAAATAGGTTATACAATGCATCACTCACTCACACACACATATATATATATATATATATATATATATATATATATATATATATATATATATGACATTTTTATGTTTATACATTTTTTGTAGATACAAATTTTTTACGTAAATGCTCTGTTTTATAATAAACAGTATTTATAACATTTACCGGCCTGAATGTCCGAGAAATTTTCATAGAAAATATGCGTCCTCCGACAGGAATCGAACCTGTATCCTATACGGAACCTTCATTTAGCCTGACGTGCAATTAGCTAGGTCGAATTTACTGCCTTTAAACTACAATCTTCCATGATTCTCGGACGTACATTCATATCTGTTCAAAGTGTATCCAAATGTAAACAAATGACGTCACACATTATGAAATGGACAAAGTCCGACAATTATTTTAAGACATTTTTATGTTTATACATTCTTTTTATAGGTAAACATAAAAATGTCTTCAACTAATTGTCGGACTTTGTCCATTTCATAATATATATACATATATGTGTGTGTGTGTGTATATATATATATATATATATATATATATATATATATATGATTTGTTGGAGATAGATACATTTTATTATGGCTTTGAAAATAGATTGAAAAAAATTATGTTCACATAATATATACAAATATATCAAAACAAGTAAAAGGGAAAAAGTTCCAATAAACAATAGCCAATCAGTTATCTCTTTGTAATTCCTCTCCTTGTTTTAAAATATTTGTATATATTATGTGGATATATACCATTTTTTTTAAATATCCGTTTTTTGAAACACTAATACACACACATACACACACACGCGATTGTTTCAGGGCCTCACTTAACGGGTGCATAAGATGGTGGAGGGTTTAAGTTGGAATGTGGTGAATAAATAATCAGCTTCAGTATTTTAGTCTGGGATTTATGTGTCTTAGCTTGTCAAATTGAGATATTAGCTAGAATGTCTCAAGGTCATAGTTTTTCTGTTGGGTTTTCCCTCTTTTCCTAAGTCCACATTAACTTCAGAGATCTGTCACCACCACCACCCCAAACAACCTCGGATGTATTTTGACGTTGCAATTGATCTGGGCAAATCAAGTTCCCTAAGTCTGTGAATATTTATAGCATTAACTTCTGTTTTATTAATTTCAATTTAGTCTAAGTTACTGTAGCCCTTCTGGTTTTGTGCTGTTCATTCAGCTCCCCGTTTATAACCGCTTGACAATCTTCGAAAACATGGGGCTGAGAAGAAAATAATTTAAATTTAAAAAGTATTCAAGGCCCAAGGTAAAATACAAATCATAAAAAAAACTCAAAGAATTTCTGTTTTTACATTCTCTTCACTCAGACTATTTACTTATTTTTATGTGTCAGCCATTGTGTCATCCAACATTCATCAGGTGTTTGTCAGTTCAAGTAGACTTCAGTGAATTTTGAACCCCCACCCTTTATTTAATCAATATAACTTGCTTGTTCTCATTTCAATGCCCACATCTAGGGATAGCTTGCCTGGTTCTTTTTTTTTAAAAAAAATGTTGCATCAACAAACATGAGATATTATTCTCATGTTCATTTTATGAGCCTACTCTACCATGCTGGCTCAGGGAATGTTGGAAGAGAGTGTTTGAAGATTTTTTTCCACAGTAGGTTGGCAATTCTTTCTGTGGTATACTGGTTGCCAGCCAAGGTTATAGAACCCAGTTTCTCCTGCTATTTAACCCATTGCTGGAGGGAGAAGACATGGATTCATACCTTTCTCAAAGGTATTTGTACACAAGTGAATGTAACGAACTCAGCTGGAATTACAATTCAGTCCACCAATTTCACATTCCAAGCTGATATCCATGACACAAAGATGCACATCCTGATTCTTATTTAGTACTGAATAAAAGCTAGACAAGATGCCTTGACATACTCAATGAAATGAGAACAATCTACACCACCCCGGATTAAATAAAAGATTCAGTTTGGTATTCCCGGACGGTTGCTAGTACTGAAAAGCTCCTGATGAAGGCCAGAGGACACAAGTCGAAAATTTATAACAACAGAAATGAAATAGTCCATTTATAAATGTCTGTAATAATTCCTCATCCCAGATATTCAGACGAAAAGATATCCAGTTTTTACATTCATGAAAAAAAGTAGAAAATCTATTGAAAACGTCTTTGTTTTCTTAAAAAAAATCAACCTTTTCATTTTCAATAGTTGTTTCTCTTTCGGAGATGAGATATTGTAACTATTTACATTGTTTGGACTATTTTCCTCATCTTTATTGCCATATTCACAATGTTTCAGCCATTGTACACTCCAGCCTTCTTCACGATCTGTCTATATTTCTGAGATGAGGTATTGTAACTATTTACACTATTCAGATTGTTGTCCTCCTCTTTATTGCATATTCATGATGTTTCAGCTGCTGTATACTCCAGCCTTCTTCAGGTGACATACTTTGGAATTTTGAACCAAACTATTTATTTCATCCACCGGGGTAAATTGTTCTAGTTCCACATACCAGGATAAAAGCATTGGTTGAAGTGATCCAGTGACTTAACCTAATGAGTTCTGAGTTCACAGCAGAGATTAACAAAAATTTGGAGAGTCAAATTACTTACTGTAATTACCTGAAATGAGGTCTAGAAAAGGCATGGCATGTGGAACGAAAAAAATCTACTCTGGTGAACAAAATAAATGGTTCGTTCGAAATTCTAACATATCAAGAAGACTGGAGCATACAACGGTCAAAATATTGTGATAACAACAATGATTAGGACAACCATCCAAATAATGTAAATAGTGCTTTTCAACATGATTTCTTGGCAGACATTTGTTGACATTTAATTTTATGCTAATCCCAAAATGTTTAAGCTATCGACCAATTGAGGTAAAGGGACTCTAATTCGAATATAATCACGGTGATTCTTAATAAAGCTTATTAATAGCTTACGGTTAAATCACGCTGAAACACCGGTTCTCGTTCGATCACCGAAGTTCGAGCCAAGTCAGTACTTAGATGGGGGACCGCTTGGGAACCTGGTACGGTAAAGCCCCCAAGTCCAACCCTTACCTCACAGTCGGTGTGGGGGGGGTGTAAACGGTAGTGTCAGAACTATGCCGCCGGAACTTCGTTCCTGGTAGGGCCACCCAAGGCGGACAGGTCTGACACACACGCCGGCTAACAAGGGCTCTGGTGAAATCCAAGGAGCGTCTGCATCGGTAACCGGCGGCTTCTGGTCGTTCCTGTCTCTGCGTCTGTGGGAATCCCGCGGCAAGCAAGAACGTTATCCGAGTAGGCCTGTGTACCCAACTTCTGTAATTTATCCCAAGAATCTTCTTCTCACAACAGGAAGAAGCCGGCTCAATCCGCCCAGGGTGAATGCCGCATCACACACACACACACACACACACACACACACACACGGTGATTCTTAATAGCAAATAAGATGATTGGAAAGCCGTCTCTAAGATTATCTTAAAAGCAAGATATGTAAGGATACTACTTTAAATATGTTCTCTAATCATGACAAGGAGATTTTTCGGCAAATGTTTGGAGAATGAACCTGTTCCAAGATTGTGTTAAAATTAACATATGTAATCCTATTTATATTTGACCTCTTGTCCTAATCTTTGTTGTTGTTTATAAGTACATTTCAGCTGTTGTACACTCTGGCCTTCCAATTTGAGCAACCTACAGGGAATTCTGAACTGGATACTTTACTTAATCTAGCATACAATGACCAATATGTTGTGAACATGACAATAAATATTAGGACAATAGTCCGGAGAATGTAAAACGTGTAAACAGTTATAATACCTCATCTCAGAAATATAGTCAGATCCTAATGAAGGCCAGAATATACAATGGCCAAAACATCATGAATGTGACAGTAAAGATGAGGACAACAGTCCAAACAATGTAAATTTCTTTCTATTATAAATAATTATAAAACTCATCTCAGCGTAATTACGTTTTTGTATCCTGAAAAGACTTTTTTACAACAACTGAAATCGTCTTTAAGTTCTTTTTCTTTTTTTTTTTTTTCTGTTTTGAGTTTCTTTTATCTGTTTTTTCTTTTTTCTTTTTTTTCTTTTCTTTCTTCTTTCTTTTTTCTTTTCTTTTTTTTTTTTTTTTTTTTTTTCTTTTTTTTTTTTTTTTTTTCTTTGTTTTTTCTTTCTTTTTTTTTTTTCTTTTTTTCTTTTCTTTTTTTTTTTCTTTCTTTTCTTTTTTTTTCTTTTCTTTTTTTTTTTTTTTTTTTCTTTTTTTTTTTTTCTTTTCTTTTTTTTCTTTTCTTTCTTTTCTTTTCTTTTTTTTTTTCTTTTTTTCTTTTCTTTTTTTTTTCTTTTTTTTTTTTTTTTTTTCTTTCTTTTTTTTTTTCTTTTTCTTTTCTCTTTTCTTTTTTTTTCTTTTTTTTCTCTTTCTTTTTTTAAAGAAATTTTCTTTTTTTTTTTTTCTCTTTTCTCTTTTTTTTTTCTCTTATCTTTTCTTTCTCTTTTTCTTTTCTTTCTTTTTGGAAATTCTTTTCTTTTCTTTTCTTTTCTCTTTTCTTTTAAAAAGCAAATTTTTTCTTTTCTTTTTCTCTTTCTCTTTTCTTTTCTCTTTTCTTTTCTTTTCTTTTTTCTTTTCTTTTTCTTTTTCTTTTCTTTTCTTTTTCTTTTTTTCTCTTTTTCTTTTTCTTTTCTTTTCTTTTCTCTTTCTTTTTCTTTCTTCTCTTTTCTTTTTCTTTTTTTTTTCTTTTTTTTTCTTTTCTTTTCTCTTTTTTTCTCCTCTTTTCTTTTTCTCTTTCTCTATTTCTTTTCTCTTTCTTTTTCCAATCTTTCTTTTCTCTTTTCTTACTTTTTCTCTTTTCTTTTCTTTTTCTCTTTTCTTTCTCTTTCTTTCTTTTTCTTTTCTTTAATTTCTTTTCTCTTTTCTTTTTCTTTTTTTTCTCTTTTCTTTCTTTTCTTTTCTCTTTCTTTTTTTTCTTTTCTCTTTTTTCTTTCTTTCTTTTTTATTTAAGCCTATTCTTAAAAGGGACTCTAATTGAATATAATCATGGTGATTCTTTTTTTTTAAATCTTCTCTAATTATATCACTTAAATCTCCTTCTTCTCTTTTTTCTTGAAGTTTGGGAAGTAAAATAGTTCCTTGATTGTGTTAAAATTAACCTAGTACTATTTATATTTGGACTATTGTCTTAATCTTTGTTGTTAGACATTTTGCCTTCTACTCTTCCTTAGGTGTCAGTTTGTGTAACCTACAAAGAATTCTGACCTGAAACCTTTATTTAATCTATGAGGGTCGACTGTTCTCGTCCCACTGCTCATATCTAGGGATATCATCTTGTTCTTATTTTTATCTAGTGACAGTTTTCTTGTCATCCGCCTTACCCTTTCTGTTCCCAAGGAGGATGCCATGAAACTTGACATGCTCTGTCGCTCTTGCATCAAGGGCTTATCAGTAAAGATCTTTAGTCTATGTAACATCAAGGCAATATTCAGAAGTAGTTCCACTCTACAGAGAAATCTCTGCCAGGTAAAGCATAACATGGAAGAGAATATAACCAAGGATTGTATGTACACAATTCCTTGCAGTTGTGGCAGAGAATAAAAAGGGGAAATAAGCCATCCTCTAAAAGTAAGGCTGGCAGAACATCGAAAAACCATAGTGAGAGGTAAGACGATTAAATTGGGCATGGCTGATTGTGGATGATGGGAAAGTGGTAGTCATCATCTTCTGTGGAATGAAGTGAAAATACAGGACAGGGAAGGACACTGGAGAGTTTGAAAGAATCAGAACATATGCTCGGATATGAGGATCGCCTTAGTAGGCCTAGCATAGAAATACAATTTTGGAGCTGCTAATAACGACATGACAGCAAGCCTTCAACAGAAACCAAAACCTGGACAACAGCATCGATTGCACACCAATCAGCAGCCAGGTTATGTTTAAGGATCTAAGCGTACTGCACCAAACTGACCGCTGGTTTTTGAATTTCGTGATTGTGAGTTCAATCCATGAGTCAGGCAGTGGAAATGGCCAAGCAAAATTAAATAAACTAATAAAATGACTAGACAGGATATCCCTAAAAATGAATGGTGGAACAAGAACAGTATATCACAGTAGATTAAATAGGGTTCAGTTCAGAATTCCCTGTAGATTACCCAGATCAATATACACCATATAAAATAATCAGCACATATACAAGGCCATGAGGATCTCCTTAATAGGCCTAGCTGTGAAACGAATTTTATTTTTGCAAATGTGCAGAATATTAGTATTTTTTTGAAATCTGCATTTCCCCCTGCAAGGAAATAAAGCCACTAAGTGATTGAAATTGCATTTAGATTTTTGAAGATTAAAGTTGGCTGGAAAGCATTATGCTGGAAGGAATTTCCACGAGTGAGAAATAAGAGAAAAACTGTTAGCATAGAATTTATGGATACATCTAACCAACTTATCTCTCAATTGATGAGATCTCAACACCAGTCTAGAGTTAGTTGCCATGGCGAAGAGATCAATCCAATTATTACTATGAAGGTATTTATAGAAATACTGAAAGAGGGCTACTTTACAGGAAAGTGACTAAAGCTGAGCTGCCAGATCAAGATTAATATTATTTCTGATTCTTCTTTGGAGTTTATCTAGGAGCTGAAGGTAAATAGTATGAGCACTGGACCTTATGTGGCAGCAATATTCTAAGCATGGATGAATGGTAAACTTATAAATATGTAAGATAGATTCTGGAGAGAAAAACTCTCACACACAACACAGTGGGCCAACTTTCTTAGTAGCTGACCAATCAATGGTTGAATTACCAATTACTGATAGTTTTAATGTTAATTCTTGGCAATGGAAAAATATCGGACAAATGTCACAATAGTTACATAGAAATGATCCTCAGATCAGGTCATCGGAATGATTTCTATATGCTATGTCTTTTCAGCGATCATGACTCTCTACAAAATCCTGTCTTTTGTAGCTCTTAATAAATTTTGTCTTTTTTATTATCTCTTCTAACTTTTGTTTTACCATCTATTTATTCAAGATCACTAAGTTATGCATTGTTTTCCTTTGCTCTGGTTGCCTTCCATCTGTTCTGTGAGTATCAGATTTTCCAAGCTTCTCTTCCTGATTATGAGCCCCCAGAAATTCATCTGTCTCTTCCTAATATTATTTATGTTTCCTTTTCTTTGCCATTTTCTTCAAAACCTTGTTATCACTCACATGTTCAGTACATTGCATAACAGTTCTATAATGTTTTCTTTGTTTCTAACGAAATTTGTATCGGATTCCTCATCCTCATGAAGTATTACTGTTTTAAAAATTGGTCAAGAATTGAGAAATAAAAGCAAAGCTAAATCAAAATGGTGAAGAATGTAAAAAAAAAAATCTGAAACTTTTGCAGACGAATATAGTGGTTTAGACAAATATCTTTGTTTTAACACAATTTGGAAAATGCGTTCTTTAATATTCATCTAAAATTGTCATTTTCTAAATTATTTCAGCAAATATCTTTTTTCTTATCAAAACTTTGTCTTCCATATTGTCTGAAATTTTAAGAAGTCACTATCATTATTCTTTGAATTCTTCAGACTAGTACCGTTGTTGTTTTTATTATTATATTTCTGCCAAACAGTTCTTCCTCTCAGTCTTGTCTGAAATTCTGAGATCAAACATTGTCCATGAATTGTTTGTAATAATTCTCTCTTCCTAGAAGTTTTTTTTAATTACATTTGGGCTGATGACATATTTGCCTTTTCTCACTTAAAATTGTAATTCCAAAAGTGAAAACACATTTTAATAATGCATTGAAAATATAAGATATTTGTGCATTGTTTTAATCATTGGAAAAACAAGTTCCTTTAAGAATATTCTTTAAAATTGCCCTGACTGCAGCACTTTAATTTTGGAAGGGGTATTTTCTGTAAGATGCTTACTCACTTAGATGCTTTTGAATCGAACTTGCATAAAAAAAGCGACATTAAATCATGCGATCATACAGTATTTTCTCACTTTTACAAACAGTTTTGTAATGTTCATTAATGTTCACTATAAAA